GCCTCGAAACGGTTGCCTCAAAACAAGTTGCCTCGAAACGGTTGCCTCGGAATAAAAAGATCAATGGCATAAGGGTAGCTTCTAAGGTATCTTACTATTGCTCGGTGACCACACTGTCCCTAACCCTCGAATTGACCCGAACACCTCCAACGGTGGTGCTACCTATCTCTCAATGGTGGGATGGCACTACCTTAAGAACATTTACACAGCCTAATTCCTTAGGGTAGGTAGATGACTCGTGGATACTTGCTCTATTAAAAAACAAATCAAAACTTCTTTTCACACCGACACTTTCAAAAAGCTTTCAAAACGAATTTTCAAACACTCTTGAGGACTGATACAAGAGTCGATCTGAAATTTTTCAAACGAAACTTTTTCAAAACCCACTCACACTTGAAAAGCAAACAAACATTTTTGAAAACACAAATGAGCAAGTATCTAAGAGCCCATGGATAACCATGGATAGAAAGGGTGCTAACACCTTCCCTTTCTATAAATCTACCTCCCGAACCGAGAACTAATCTCAATAAGGAATTTTTCTGTGCTTTTGTCCTTTCCATTTGGAGAAAATAAAAGACGGTGGCGACTCTTGCTTACCGCGACATTTCGCGAACCAGCGTTAAACAGTCAGTTCCGGATCCACCGATCACAGTTGTCTATGATTATTTTAAAGTATTGTCATACAAACCTTAATTACTAACAATAATAAGGAATGCGATAAATTGTAGAATTTAAATGTCCTACGCTATTACAACGCTTTGGGACTGAGGGGTACAATTTGTGAATAGGGGGAGGAAAGCAATAAAACCCTAATTACTATTACAAACTATTGAATATGAATTACAACAATAATCATGCACAAAATGTAAAGATGAAGAAGAAAAGAAAATGATTTTTAGGGTTTTTGATGGAGAAAAAGGTTTAATATTTTAACCTAATTTTTATGTACAATAGAAGTTAATTTATTTATTTAATCAAAACCTAAAATCTAAGTTAATTAAATAAAACCTAAAGGTTAATTCAATTTACTCAGAAAATAGTTTTTGTTAATGTAAGTTAGAAAAATATTCTACAATGTAAAAGAAGTGATAAAATTTAATTTAGAAAAAATAAAATAAAAGGCTTGAATTAGATTATTTAATAAAAAATGGATGTTTTTGTATTTTTTAGATGAAATAAATAAATAAATGAAAATAAGAAAATATAAAAGAAATAAAAATATTTGGGCTGGGGTTTTGAAAAGCAAAATGGGGGTTAAAAGGCAAAATGGGGCGTTGGGCCCAAAATAGTTTTTTTGTTGGTAATCAGAAGAAAAAAAGGTGATATGGACTTGGTTGGTGAAAGTAGTATGGAGGATGTATGAAATGAAAAAACAGAAGGCCCAATCATCTCCAGCCCAGCGCCTATTTTGATCATGTATTGCTGATTTCTTGAGGTGTACCATGAGCTTGAATCATGGAGCGTGGGATGAGACCTTATGATGATGATCCTATGGTGAAGAGATGAGGGTCCATGATAGCCTCAAAGAAGCCAAACGCGTTGAATCTGCAACGAAAACATAAGAAAAATACAAAAGGGTACCACCAGGGCTCGAACCCAAGTCCCTAGTAACAAATGCCTTACGTGCGCTTCTCCTGCCACTAGGGTGGTTGTTTCATCCGTGAGTAATACAAATTTTAATAAATATAAAATAAACTCAGTCTTAAGGGTACTTCATCCCTAACCTCGCACCAGCTTCTTCATCACTATTTTTGAAATCTGTAACTTCCTCATTTCTAAACCAAATTGGAAAATGTAAACATGAAAGTTGCTTGAAATTTAACCATGATTTCAACCATATAAATAACTTAAGCTAAAAATCAAAGATGAGCATGAATTTCATCTGGTACCAAATTAAACCTAATTTTTTCAGAAAGTTTAAACTCAAAATTCGCATCACTCAGGCAACATAAATGAAATCTAAGGGCATGGTTAACCATTAATGATGCTTGTATGAGAAGTTCAAAGTTGAGAAAACTTACCTCAAAATTGGAAATCATATTTTGAGTTTGAGCACTCTTGGATGTGTTGTGATGATCTGAATAGCTTCAGTGGACTCCTAGGAAGCTAATGCAACTCTTACTTTGGATTGAGGGTGGCTGAAACTTCATGTAGAAGTCAATATGCAGAGCTCTGTTTTTAAGTTTAGAAAAGGGTGGAGATGATGTTACAGTTGGGAAACAGGTATGGAGATGAGTTATATTTGATGTATGGAAGCTTTGTGATTGAATTTGAGTGAGAACGCACAAGTGAAATGTGAGTTTGGAATTCAAAGTCAAAAATGGCACAAAAATGGAGTTTGTGTGCAAATTTTGATTTCAGGGAGTTTGAGGGATTTTCTAGGCTTGTGAACTCGTGTGTTAGGTTGCAAATACATCCTCTATTTATAGGCAAGAGGTTTGGAAGGTTCAAGGGATCAGAATCACAAGATCATATGTTATGGTTTTTTGACTTGTTTTTAAAGCAATTTTGACAAACATTGTTCCAATGCATAGTACAAGACTATCTAAAGTGGTTAGGCACTTTAAACATTTTGCTTCTGGCTTTTGTGTTGAGTGTGTGCAGAGGGAACAAGTTAGAGGCTCAATACAAGTTGACTTTGTGATTAAAGCAACTTTACAAGAATGGAAATGTTACTTTATGCCAAAAATGGATTAATCTCTTGGACAATGGCTCAAATGTTTGGATCATAGCTCTAACATTTGTGTAATAAACTAATTATGAAGTTATTTTCAAGTTAGAAGCCTGCAAAACAAGATTATGCAGCATAGGTTTGAGATTTGATTAACTGTTCATCATGAAAATGACTTGTAATTCAAAAATAGATGCCCAACTTCTTCTCTTCGATTCTCTTAGCTCAATCATGATCTCTTCAAGTTATTGGATATTTTGGAAAGCTTGAAACATTTTCTACAACCTTCATGTTGACCACTTTGGCTAAATCATCTTGGAACTAGGTGAAAATTGGTCAAGAAGTTAGGTAAAAAATCTGCCTAAACTAGTTGAAAATTTCACAAAGTGTTTTATGAAAAATGTCATGACTTCATGGGCTTATATCTTCAAATATAAGCATTTTTTGGACATAAACCCTCTAATACAAATTTGTATAATTCATCAAGATATACAAATTTCATGTTGAAAGTTTTCCTTGAATCGTCTTGCATCTTGGTGAAAAAATATCATGAAGTAATGAATTTATCAAGTATAAAAACACTTAGAAAATTTTCAAGTCTTAGAAATCTTGACTTTTTTATTGACTTTTTGACTTTATTGATTCTTGATGATCAAGTTTGATATTTTGAATGTCTTGATGAATCTTGATCTTTGAAATTCAATGTTAATCAAAAAGTCAAAGTTTGACTTTTTATGTATCAGTTGACTTTTCATCAGTTGATCCAATTTCAACTATCAATCCAATAATCTTGAAAAATGATTTGAGCCATGAAATTAGGTCAACACGTTATGTTTGAGTCTTTCAAATCATGATTCAAGCCATTAGGTCATGTACTAGGTCAAAAGTCAATGATCAGTCATTCTCAATTAAAACCCTAATTTTGACAATTTTGCCCCTTTGATGATTTGAGTGCTTTTCTTGAGGAATTGTGATCAACACTTATCAATTGATGGGTATCACTTAAAAATGTTGATGTTGGCCAAAAATCATGAAGTTTGAGTTTATATTGACCACAATTGACTTTTTACCCAATACGGTTGATTTTTAGTCATCTGGGCAATTGACTGAGCAAATTTGTGATACAAGACTTGAAACTTGGTATGAGAAATATTGGAGACCTATAATGAACCATGAAAGTCCTTTGAAGCATCAAAAGTCCAATTGTCCTTGATAAAACCAAAATCCTAATTTGGAGGCTCAGTGCTTAGGAGGTGAGCTTGTCTGATCAAGCCCTTAAGAACTCTTGAGCATTTGAGATCTTTGGTGAGAAATGTCTTGGGAAAAGAGAAGGAAAATTTTGGGGTACAACAGACGTCATATGACATTTGCAAGTCTCAACTTGTCCAGAATAGGTCGCATCTCATCCACCTCCAAGGCACCTTGCTTGTACGGCCATCTCATAGCTCTAGGAAGTCCAAAATTATCACATGGATTCCAATTTTTTCCTCTTCTTCCAAGTGTTAGAAAATACTCATGAATCCAGCACTGTTCTAAAATTAATACAGTTAATAAAAAATTTAATAAAAAAAAGACTAAACTAATAAATAAACTAAATTAAAATAAATTACATCTAATAAATACTGAAGTAGAGTAAGATATCCAGCAAGCTGCTTGCAACTGAACATGGATGCATCTGCAATAGCGTTGTAGAGGATAAACAAAGCAGTTGCTCCCCAACTGTAACCCTCAAGCCTATCCAAGTCCCTAAATAACAATATATATCGTGCCTCGACAAGCGTAATCATCTTGTCGATAAAATAGTCATTTACTTACCTCGCTGAACCATATATGTCGAGCAACATGATGCATACCTAACCAGAAGAGATGTATCTTACGAATCTCTTGGAAAGCCAACAGACTGTGGAGTGGATGCAGATGCACCAACATGCTCCTCCTCTCTTGGCACCATTTATGGAACGTCTCATCCTAGCCTACGAGCCAAAATCCTATCGTCTTTGTCTAGTGTTCGCATTTTGAAAATAACAAAAATTAAGCCAAAAAAAATTTTAAAAAAATAAATCAAAACACATTTTGGAAGTGTTCCAACGCGTAAAAATTGAAGCAAACGGAAGAGTTTGTAAAAGCGTTATGATGTGTCACGAACACAATTCGAAAGAGTTTTAAAAGGTGTTCTAGTTTATAAAATCAAACTGAAAGAATTGTAATAAACAAAGTTGGAAGACTTACTTGAAGTATTTTGGAGTGTAACTTGTACGCGGAAGAGTCTGAAAAAATATTATGGAATACAACTGTTCTCATAGTGTTTCGGAAGGGTTTTTGAACATGAAAATGGAAAGTGAATTTTTTATATTTAAATTTCACTATTTATATTTATGTGAGGGACATTTTTGTCCAAAAATTTCAAATATTAAATACCTTTAATTTAAATATAAAAAGTTTAATTCTCAGAGTAGCTCCCATCTGGAAGCAACGCCACCGCCCTGTTGTTGTCTGTAAGGTCTTGAATGATCCTTGAGTTTTTGTTAGATTTAATGATTATTTTTGTTTAATATTGATTATACTCTGCAATTTATCTGATCATGAAAAAGGTTGTTTGTAGGAGTAAAATTTGTTATTATTTGAAGGTAAAAATTAGGGAGGATGAATCGGAAATTTGGAGGTGGAAAGGCACCAACTGGGACTCCTTCACTGCCCTTGTCATCTGTGGTTGTCATCTGTTCACTTCTTGCTGGTGCTTCTCTTGTACACAATATCTATAAACCTAACCTTGTAAGTTTTTCTTATTACCTCTTTCAACTTTCTCTACTAATCTAAATCAAACCCTCGTTACGTTTTTTTCTTTCATTCTTACCCAAAACCTAAAACCCTAAATCCCCAAATTGATTTTCTGGACATGCTCGTTGTGACGACTAGCAACCGTAAACGCTCTGAACAATGCATGTCCGTTAACCACAATCACAATCCCAATCACACAATCGCTTCTCAGTCTTCAGATTCCCGCAGAAAGCGACTCAAATTCTCCTCCGAATCGACGCGAATCGTTTCCGCATCGTACGCCGTCGTTTCCGATGTGATCGACGCGAATCGTTTCGGCATCGTACGGCCTCTCCTCCTAACTATTCATGAAGTAATAAACTTGAACGATTTTATAAAATTCAAACACTTCGATGACTAGTAAAATGGATAAAACAAAATCCTGTTTTACTGTCCTCATAGTCATATTTATCACAAACACTTTACTCTCTGCAGAATACGCCGTACTTGACAAGATTATTAACTCATTGTTTTTTCTGTAGACATTGCCACCAATTGATGGAGTTGATGGAACCAAGAAGAAACTAGATGCGAAAGAATGATGATCATCTCCTGGTGATGAGTTTTTCTTTATATCTTGAAGATGAGCATGTTTTGAGTCCTAAAATTTATTGTATCTGCAATTAAACCAGAGAGGCAGAGATTGTTCTTCGCCAACCGTTAATATTTCTATATTAGATTTAAATATTAGGACAATATTTGGATAAGAAATTTAATTAAGCATTTTTAGTATAATTGTTTTCGTATAAGCTATTGTTGTATCCAAAGATATAATAAAGTCAAATTATGTTCTCATATAATCTATCCTGATGGGCTTATAGAAATAAGCTCAACATCTTAAAGATATGTTATAAGTTATTCCCAACATTTTATCGATTATGATGATGATTTTTGTTGTTAAGTAGTTTACTGGTTGAAATCACCCTTTAAAAATGAATAAATGGGGTGTCAGTGGATCAGTTATCAACCAAGCCGACTTAACTGGACAATTACGATGATAATCTTAATATTTATTTCTTAAATTTTGGTTTGTAAGGATTACTGCATTAAGGACTAACTCTCCTTTGAACAAGACAAGTTGAGAAAGAGGGAAAGGATTATGGACATATGGAATATCAAAATGATTGTCCCAAACTCACTTCACTTGTGATAATGACCATAGAAGGTGTCTTTGGGTAATTTTTAAATTGCACTTACCGTGCTTATTTTTTAATTCAGTGCATCACTGTTTTTAGCATATATAATTAATTTTTTTTTCCGATGTTCAAAGAGTAAATTCCCTCCAATGTCATTGAAAATTAATATATTTTTAACGTGCACGGTTCTTTAATCATTAAGCAAGTTTCTTGTGTTTTTAACCTGATAATACTTTTTTGTATTTTTTATTGAATATAAAATGTGAAGGTTTTTTTCTGTTTGAGAGTATAATAAAATAGTACGGGAGTTCAAATTCATATAAATTCAAACAAAAATTTGCAAATTGCAAATCGTAAAAATTAAAATTAACAAAAATTTGCAAATTGCAAATCGTAAAAATTAAAATTAACAAAAATTTGCAAATTGCAAATCGTAAAAATTAAAATTTATTGGATGTGTTTTGATGTCATTTTGTGAAAATCCATTCGTTCGAATCGAATTTTAGATTTATTTTTCGAAATTGATCTAAATCGAATTGTATACATATATTTTTATTTTTTTATTTTTTATTAGTATGATACGTTACTTTTTATTATTAGTATGATATATTATTAGTATGATATGTTATGTGAATTTATTATTAGATAATAATAATTTTTTAAATAATATTTATTAGTTTGATATAATCTATTTATATATTATGATTTATTTGTAGTTTTATAATATTAATAAAAATATAATGTATAATTTGAATATCTAAAAATTAATCCAAATTAAATGGTATAAAATTAGATCAGATCGGATTAGATTTTTTTAATATATCATTTAAAATTGAACCACGAGCACCCCCTATAAAATACCATATTGCACCATAGAACAGAGAATAAGGTATTTAATTGTGGCATTGGCTAATATAAACTACCATGGTGGTACATGATAAATTACTCTTTTATTCTGTTTGAACTGCTAGACTAATAGAGTCCATTAGATCTTATCACGGACCGTCTTGATCAAAAAATTTCTCTTTAGAATGTGTTTGGAAAAAATATTTATTTATTTTTAAGAGGTGAAGTTTTGATTATTTTACTAACAAAAAAAAATCATCAACATCATAGTTAATAAACTTTTTTATTTTCAAATTTTTTAAAAATTGTTTAGGTATTTTCATACCGTTCATATATGGTACAATTAACTCAAATTTAATATATATATATATATATATATATATATATATATATATATATATATATATATATATATATATATATATATATATATATATATATATATATATATATATATATATATATATATATATATATATATATATATATATATATATATATATATATATATATATATATATATAATCAATGTATTTGGTTTTTTGTGTAAGTGCCAAACACTAAAGTTTGATTAACATGTAAATGGCAAATGAAACACGTATGACTATATTTTTATATTTGAACTTCTTCAGTTATACCAATAAATCATGTCACATAATGACATACCTAAACTCTAAATAACACTAAACTAATTACATAAAAAAACAACCTCAACTACTCATATATGTTTATTAACCAAAATATTGGATACAAGTTTTAATGATATTGAATACAATGTCACTTGAATGAGATGATAAAATATATAGTTTTAATTTAATTAGAGATCTAAATTCAAATTTAGTCTTGGAAATATAACGATGTGAATTATATTCTCGAGTGAGATATTTAGTATCAATTTAGTTTTAAAAATATAATTGTATCATCAAGAATACTTAGATAAGATGGTGTGGTCTCTTTCAATTTAATAAAAGATTTTAGATTCGAATTTAATTCTAAACATTCATATTTATCATCTATTATGATATATATATTTCGTAGAAAATAAATGTTACTTCTTATAATCACAATGATATTTATTTTCTATAAAAAAATAATATAAAAAGTATTTTGTTGGTAATTAAGTTTTTTTATTTTGGCAAGGGCAATAGGTGTGTTTATACAAGAGCTTTCTTCTCCCACCTTCTTTCCATTCCTTCCAAATATTTGCTGTCAGTCTTATATTAAGAAGATTTGACAGAGCATATTCACTTAGAATTCAATAAATTTGTAGTGCTGACAACTATTTGTGGTTGGTCAGTTACAAAAAATGAGACCCCCCAAATAAGATTAAAGATTATAAAGTGTATACTAAATTGAAAGTTGATCTAAAAAAAAGGTTGCATATCCTATTGAGATGGTTTACCTAGAAATAGAATCTTTCATGCTCGCCACTCCATAATTAGAGGAAAGGAGCTCTTTTCTCTTTTTTGTGGTCCATTCCTATTTTTTATGTGTTGGAGAGTAGAAATAGCTTATTACATCTATTGACCCAATCAATTTTTACTCTTTCTCAAATTCACATTTTATCAATTAAAATTTAAAATATTTTTCTAAAAACGGGACTTTCTTAAAAAGAATGCCACTATTCCCTTGCAATCATCGATCTTATTGTTTTTGTATGTTAAATCATGGATGTTAGGTGATGATCTATATAATATTTTTAAAGACTATATTATTACCAAAGAGTCCAATCTCTTAAATATATACTATTTTAATAATTTCATCACATTCAAACTCCTATGCTTAAATGAAAAATAATGATTGTAAAATAAAACGCTTGAATTTAAATAGTTTATACATTATATTTAAAAACAATATTCAAATTCAAATTCTAAATTAAATATTGATTTGTTATATTTTAATTTTATTTCTTAAAATTATAGGATTAAAATCAAAAAATAATAATTAGAGCAAAATATTTTCAAATTGTACTTTTAATATGTTAGAGTTTTAATGTACGTAAATATTAATTCAATTAGTAGAAATTCATTTAAATCTAAATCACTCTGATGATGTATAATATCTAATATCTTCGGAAAAAAAGTTATTTATAATAAATAAAAAACTTATTTAAAAAACACTTTCCATTAAAACCACATTATAGAGAAAACAAACCTAACTATAGATCTATTCTTGCAAATAAACCATGATCACATATTGATATGAATAAAAATAAAATATAAAAGCTAAAAGAAGTACACAAAAATTAACACATTTCCAATTTAACCCCACATATAAAAACTTAAAAAAAAAATAAAAAATAAAAAATAAAAAAAGCAAAAACCAATAGTTAGTGAAAAATAGAAGAAGAAAAAAAAAAGACATGATTAAAAAAGGAAAATTTATTAATAGAAATTACCTAAATAAGGCCTAAACACCATGGAAAGCGTTCTTAAATCATAGATTCAAAATCGAAATCCAACGGTTGACATTGCATCTAGTTCTTTTTATATTGAATTCCATTTTCTCATTTTCATTTGGTCTCTTTTTTGAAGTGTGCGTTCTCTCTCTTAACTCTCTCTCTCTCTCTCTCTCTCACCTTGCCTCTGTGCATTCTCTCTCGTTCTTTGCCTTCCATCACCCTCGGCATTTTCCTTCCCAAGGTTTGGTTCTCTTCTTGATCCGTTTTTTTCTTGATTGGATCTGTTTTTTACGTTTCTTTTTGGTCTTTTTTAGTGTTGAATTTTGATGATTTAATTGAGGGTATTGGTTTTGTTTGGGAAGATTTATAATGGGTTGTTGTTGGATTTTGATTTACGCAATTGTATATGATCAAATTTGAATTTTTAATGTTTTTTGTTTTGGATAAAAATAGAAATCTGATATATGATATGAGAATTGAATGTGAATTGATCGATCTTGGTGTTTTTGTTTTGTTTAAAAGAAATGATTTTGATTGGTTAATGGTGATGGGTATGGATCTATCAAAAGTTGTTTTCAGATGTGTGGGGATGGTATTTGAATTGTTGTTTTGATGTTGATAGGATAGAATTAGTAGCTTTCTTTTTTTGATATGATGCAATTAAATAGGTGGAAAGTGAAATTTGGTGAAATTCTCTTTCGAAAGTGAAAGAAGAGATTCTGAAAAGGAAATGTGATAATGCTTTTCAATTTTCATGTGGACCTAAGTATGAACTATTGTGTATGATTCATGATGTATGTAATCAACTAGTGCATGTTTGATATCACGGTGACAGTGACTTGCTATGCCAAAAGATCTAAAAGTGTAGAATTGATTTTAACATGTTTGGATGTGTTCCAATATAATTGATTTTAGGATGTATGTTTAGGTGTGTTACTTTTTATTTCAATGTTACTATGTTGGGATACATGTATCATGCAATTTGATATACTATTTTGTTTTCTAAGCTTAATTTATTTGATGGTTATTTTCTCAGCTGTTTATTGCACCTTGGTGTGGTAAACTATAATTGGTTAGGATAATTGAATTTGGTTTGGCTTGGTTTGTGATTAAATTGCAATATTTTGCCTATGAAATCCGTTTGTGGAAAAAAAAATCGGATTGGTATAGTAAGTGATTTTTAAAAACAATAGTTTATAGAAACAGTGCACTTCTAATAACTATTTTTGATTTATTGTGCAGATAGTAGAAGATGGCAGACGCTGAGGATATTCAACCTCTTGTTTGTGACAATGGAACTGGAATGGTTAAGGTACACAATAGTTTTTGGTATTAGATTTGCTTGTAGTATAACATAATGCCATACTCTTAAGTTATTTTATTGGAGTTTCTTAGATTTATATATTTGCGAAGACTAATTGAATTTGAGAAAATGGAGTGTAATATGTTTTCAGGCTGGATTTGCTGGAGATGATGCACCTCGTGCTGTGTTTCCCAGCATTGTAGGTCGTCCTCGTCACACTGGCGTGATGGTTGGCATGGGCCAAAAAGATGCATATGTTGGTGATGAGGCACAGTCTAAGCGTGGTATTTTGACTCTCAAATACCCCATTGAACATGGAATTGTTAGCAACTGGGATGACATGGAAAAGATTTGGCATCACACCTTCTATAATGAGCTTCGTGTTGCCCCAGAAGAACACCCAGTTCTGTTAACTGAGGCTCCTCTTAACCCTAAGGCTAATCGTGAGAAGATGACTCAAATCATGTTTGAGACTTTTAATACCCCTGCCATGTATGTAGCTATTCAGGCTGTTCTTTCACTCTACGCTAGTGGTCGTACCACCGGTGAGTCATTTTTAATTGTTCGATTAGAGGCTATATCATGTTTTATGTGCCATTTTCAATATGTCATATGTCATGTAATAGATATTTTGAAGTTGACATACTTACCTTCTCTATGCAGGTATTGTGTTGGATTCTGGTGATGGTGTCAGCCACACTGTCCCTATCTACGAGGGTTATGCCCTTCCACATGCCATCCTTCGTCTTGATCTGGCTGGTCGCGACCTGACTGATTTCTTGATGAAGATTTTGACTGAGCGTGGTTATTCTTTTACCACCTCAGCAGAGCGTGAAATTGTTCGTGATGTGAAAGAAAAGCTGTCATACATTGCCCTTGACTATGAGCAAGAGCTGGAGACAGCGAGGACCAGCTCATCCGTGGAGAAGAGCTACGAGTTGCCTGACGGACAGGTAATCACCATTGGAGATGAGCGTTTCAGATGTCCAGAGGTGCTGTACCAACCATCCATGATAGGAATGGAAGCAGCAGGAATTCACGAGACCACATACAACTCCATCATGAAGTGCGATGTGGATATCAGGAAAGACTTGTATGGTAACATTGTCCTTTCAGGAGGAACAACCATGTTCCCAGGAATTGCTGATAGAATGAGCAAAGAAATTTCTGCTTTGGCCCCAAGTAGCATGAAGATCAAGGTCGTTGCACCACCTGAGAGAAAATACAGTGTCTGGATTGGTGGTTCTATTTTGGCATCCCTTAGCACCTTCCAGCAGGTTTGTTTCGTTCTTTACTTCCTTCTTTCTCTCGATATATATATAATGTTATTGGTAAACGACATTGACACAAAATGTTTTGTTTTGAATGCAGATGTGGATTGCAAAGGCAGAATATGATGAATCTGGTCCATCAATTGTGCACAGAAAGTGCTTCTAAATCACTACTACTATTACTACTACTACTTCTGTTTTGAGAGAAAGAGGTTTTATTGAAGGGAAAGACTAGTGTTATGAATCCTTCGGAAACATTGCAAGTTGTAGCCCTTTAAATTCATTATTATTTGCTTTTGTTATCATTTGTTCATGTACTTAATTCACAATGTTGGATTGATTATTTGCTGAAAGCGAGTTGTTTTTTTAAATGATCCACTTCAATTCAGTAATATTTCATATGTCTTATTTATTTGTTTATGACTATTCAGTCTCAGCGAATGAAATAATTGGGATTATCAACTATAATTGCAAACATATTTTGTAGTTGCTTGTTTGTGAAGTGGAAGGAATGTTAAAAACATATTAAGCGAATGCTATGATTTGTAGTTTCTGTTAGGAATGTACAAAGAACATGTTAGGCCAGATGATTGCGTGTTTTTCGCTCAACAGTAACATTAGACCATGTCAAATTTTGGACTCAAACATGATAATTAGTTTGATCAAACCCAGATTAGGTACAAGTTCAATAAGGAAATGATGAAACAAGAATAAGAACTGTGTTGTTTGTTAGAAAAATCACCATAAATAAATAGTAGCAATGTCTTGCCCATTAATCAAAGGTTCACCAAAAGTAGAGAGAGTTGAAATTTATATTGAAATTTAAGATGAGATAAGGAAAAAGAAATTGTACATCAGATTTATACTATTTCAGTGCATTCGTCCTCATTAGCACTTAGTTCAATCTTTAATGGTGAACCATTGAAAATTTATTAGGTCTTTCACTATTTTACAAATTAATACAATCGTTTTTTCATACCATGGACACTAATCACTTCAATCCGAAATTTGAATCTAGATTCCCTTATGTTGTAAGTCAACACATATCTGAATATAAATTTCCTTTCTATTCTCGACAGAACACTAAAAACTGTCAAATCTTCAAGATACTCACTTGATCTTTTGAGTTAGTCACCTCCCTATAACCAAAGTTTAATCCAAGATCCTATCTGCATCAATCTTCACTTAACCCTTTCAGAATTCTCATGTTCAAGCCATTGTTCTACTAAAGAATTTTATAAACTCTGAAACGTTTCCGTAGCGGTTTTCACTAGACCCTCCCAAAATTTTTCTGAAGAAGAAATTAATCTTTTTCCTTGCTGGTAGTTAGTCTTCAGACACCATAATCACAACAATTCTTCAACCCGTTACACAAAAAGTTTTACAAAACATTATATTCCTTAATGTACCTTGCAACTACTATTCACCCTCAATCTTAAAGTTGAGTACCACAACAGTGAGGTTTTTGGATCATGGTTGAAGGTGATTGATTATCAAAAGAATCTAACACAACTTCTAATCAGAACTCATGAAATCAACACTCTATGAAGTTTTCTTCAAGCTTGACTTGAGAGATAAGGTGTTTATGAAAGAAACAACACTCTTGATTTTTCAAGGTTTATAAAAAATAAGGATACACACATTCTCACTTTTTTAGAGAGAATGACAAAAATGATTTATATGTGTTAAAAAAGGCACAAAATAGGTAAAAATTAAGCAATTGACTTGAAATTCCTACAATTATTATTTGAACCAGATGAAAGATTTAAAGTTTCATGTTTGTGCTACATGATTTTGTTGATTGTCCTTTAAGTTTTTGGTGTTACTTTTATGTCATTGAATCTCCTCATCAATTGCACATTTCTATATTGAATTTCAGATCCATATTTTAGCATACATAAATCAGAGTGCTTGATTATAGTGTAAGCGATATGTTTTAAAATAATTTTTCGAGTTTTTTTTATCAAGAATTATATTTGAGGTTGGTTTAAGTCATGACATTGGTAGAATCTCAAAATATTTTTAAATTGCAAAAATTTGAGATTTTTGGTGTGTGATATGAATCACACATCACATGACTCAAATCAAATGAAACATAGATCGTAGGAAGTGTTTGAATTTGTCATGATTTGAAACATAACTTGTACATGATTCAAATCATATCTCTTTATGACTCGAATCATAGGTTATTCTTGACTCATATCATGAAGAGTTGCAGTTCCATGTTTTGACTTTTCCTTGTTTAATTCAAATCATATATTTTTATGACTCGAATCATGATCTAAATCATGACTCAAATTGTAACGTCTCAGATTACTTTCAAGATTACCGACTAACCCCACAAACCAACATGAGTATTTTCAGCATGCTTTGTCCTCACTCACACGTTTTCTAGGAGCTTCCCGAAATTTCACCCATCAAAATACTACTCCAAGTCAAGCACGCTTAACTATGGAGTTTTTATTTGTTAGCTACCGAAAAGATGATGCATTTAGTTGGTATAGGTAGTACCAATCAATCCTTATAAGATTTCCTTTAACCAAGTAATCCCATCCTCGCACAACCTCGGGATCCCTCTCATTTTGATGTAAATTGGGCGACTAACCATCGCCCTCTTCAGCCTCGAGTGTTACATTTCCACCAACTTTCATTTGGTTTGTCCCCGAGCCATATCGTACTGGAAGAGAACTAGACTCTGATACTATTTGTAACCCCTCAAACTGCTTTCAGAATTACCAAGTGACTCCGCAAACCAACACAGGTCTTTTCAGTATGCTTTGTCCTCGCTCACACGCTTTTCGAGAAATTTTCTAGAAGGTCACCCATCCAAATACTACTCCAAATCAAGCACGCTTAACTATGGAGTTCTTATTTGTTAGGTGATAAGTTCCAAAATGTAGTTATTTTGTATATATGTTTTGTGGAACTTATCGGTTCTTTTGTTAATATTTGTTTAATAAATTCCAAATTTATTTGTAAATATGTATACTTTGTGTATAATTATATTTTTGATTCATTTGTGTACCGTTTGATATATTTTATGTCTTTTGTAGGTATTTGTTTCATATTTGGAGCATCGAGGAATAAGGTGTTGAAGATACAACTCCAAATGTGGGTTTTCAGAATAAAAGAACATTTTTGAGAAGTTCTGCTCAAGGGACCGCATTAAACACATCCTCTAGCGCGCTACATGCATTTTTTGATAAATCTGGCAGAAGAGGTTTTTTTTGACCCCAAAATTTCCCTCCCATATTTCTCAACAAATGTCAAGTGAGGTCCCCAAATTGCTCAAGGAAGTTCAAGAGTTGACCAGACAAACTCTCTCATAAGGCAGTCTACCTCAAATTAGGGTTTCATTTTTCATCAAGATGCTTGAGTTCAAAGGATCCAAAATGCCTCCCAAGGTCCTAATATGTTCTCAAGATCATCCATGTCAAGTTTCAAGCTTTACAGAAGAAGTTTGCCCAGTCAATTGCTCAAATGCCTGAAAATCAACTATGCTAGGTCAAAAGTCAATTGTGGCCCACATACAGTCAAACTTCAATATTTTTGGTCAACATCCTCATTTTGAAGTATTATCCATCATTTTATCAAGGGTTGATCATGATTCCTCAAGGATTGCTCACAATTCATCAAAACTCAAAAGTTGCTAAATTAGGGTTTTACAAGAAAAGTCAATTCAACTTTGACCAAGCATAACTTTCTCATACTAAATTAGAAATGACACATCAAAAGCTCATTTTTAAGAGGATGCAGTTCCCTACAATTCATCTTCAGCTCCGAAGTTCAAAATATGCACTCACAAGAAGATATGAATTTTGACATTATAGGTCATTTTGGAAAGTCAACAAAAACACCTTTTGGGTCAAAGCTTCATACATGAACATGGAAGACTCAATTGAGATGAGACAAAAATGGTTGCTTATAAGACATCCTAAGATTTCTAAAAAGTCCAAGAACACCTCTCTAGGGTCAAAATTGAGAGAGTTATGCATTGGCCAAGTTGACCATTTTTGCAAAATTGCCAAAAGTCAAATGTGCTCAAATTTGCAATTTTTACTAAATGCGCTCAACTTTTTATGCTTGCACCTTACTTATAATATGATCCACGACCCAAATATCCAACCTCATGTTATTTGCTTCACTTTTTAATTTATTTTGATTTTTTGTTAATTAAAATTCCAATTAAATCAAATAATTGATGAATAATGAAAAAGATATGCTGTGATCTGATTTTTAGACAGGATCTCAATCAAATAATGCAAGGATATCATGATCAATTCGAATCAAGGCTGATTGGGACAAGAAAGGCATAATTTGGCTCAATATAGCAAGTTTACATATGCCATGAAAATCAAATCAAATCTTAAAAACTTCCAAAGATGTGATCAGTTTTTACAACCCTAATGTACTCTATGATATATATTGAACGTATCCAAGGCAAGAACAAGGGTTAGAAGTCGTGCATAGCCAAGAAGAAAAACTGAAAATTTCAAAGAAAAGTGGTGATTCAATTTCCATCCTAGAGGCCAATCCAAGCCATTCTAACATTGCCAACAGATTGCTGGACATCCCAGGAATGTATCCCACTCAATTTCAAGCCGCCTCAGGTCCAGAATCAACACATAGCAATCACACGGTTTGCCTAAAAAACTTGATTTCGATTTCATTGGTTTACTCATCATATGCACGTTTTGATTATATATTTTTGTTCATCATTGAGTTTGTAAGCTATTGGTATCATTCAATTGCATGTTCAGTACAAGAATCATGATGTGCCATTGTTAGGGTTTCTTGGCTCGTTTTAGGGTTTTTCAATATAGGCAAAATCAGGCTTGGATTCTGGTACCATGATACTCGTGAGGATGAGACGAGTTGATTGGTACCCTCACTTGTCATTTTTTTTTCTTGTATACAATTTTTGAGATGCACAGGTCTGTATCTACAGCAAGGTGTCTGCAGGTAAAAGTGTCATAGGCTAAAACGACGGAGAGAGGAAGAAGAAGCTTACGTGGCACAACATCATTGGCTCATTCAAACCGACGCGCGTTTTCTTTTTGTTTTGACCATAATGCATGTTTTTCCTATATTATTCTTTGTTCTCACTATAATTACAACTAAGCATCACAACTCAGTTGGCAAGCAAGCGTTGGAATTTGATATAAG